CCCTGGTGCAGATCGCAAAGGGCCCCATGAGGCTGGGCTCAGCTGTGCTCAGAGCCTGGGCAGGCTCCTGCCCCTCTGCCCCACGCTCATCACCAGGGCCATAATTAGCTCAGGGATTTAGGCTGCAGCGCGGCTCGGTAAAGGTGAGGGCAGCATCATTAAAGGAAGCAGTGGGGAGCTGGGGACGAACCCCTCCCCAGTTCATCCCCTGCATGGGCACTCCTGCTCTCTCAAAAGCCATCATTAAACAGCACTGCACATGGGATAAACCATGGACACAAACACATCCGTGCTGGCAAACAGGGGGGTCCTCCGGAAAGGCCCCGCAGAAAGCACGGACGGGGTGAGGATGCTGAGAGGCACCGCGTGTGCATCAGTACCAGACAGCACAGCCACCTTTCAGATCAAAAACCAGCTTATCTGGGAGTTCTGAGCATTTTGGGTGTTGTTTTGGCAAGCCTGGTCCCAACACAGGTATTTCTAAACACGAATAAAGGGAAATGGTTTGCTAACTTTCTATGAACCTCAAAGCACAAGGTTCAAATTACTGAATTGTTTGGGCTTTCGATCCTGGAGGGGGAGAGCAACTGAACTGCCTGACTGCTCTGCTGTTTAAATGCACAGAAAAGACAGTTCAAGCAAATACCTTAATGTAGAAATCAAAACACTTCAGTAATTAAAAGAGTCTACCCCAGAGCCTTGTGTCCCACCTCAGAAAACATCCTCCTCGTGCATTTTAAAGGATTTCTTGTTTCTAAACCTTACATCTAATGGAGTAGATACAGATCCAGTCTCACATTTGCTGCCCACACAGCACCGCACGCTGCATCCCCAGCCTGGACAGCAGAGGTTTCATTAACCACTTTCTGCACATCCCTTTACTTGCAAAGCAAGAGACAAATAAAAGTATGGAAATGCAAAAGCATCGGGAGAGGACGGAGCCTGGCAGAGGACGGAGCCGGGCAGAAGCAGCAGATGGGGTTTGTTTTCCTCTTTGCTGCCATTCAGGTTCCAGCAGTTCGGGCAATCCAGTTATTCAATTTGGATAAGCTTCAGTAGATAACAGCAATTTAAACAGCTGCCTGTGCCGCACCGTTCTGTTATCACCTCCTCCTTCCCAAGTGCTAATGCCATTAGCAAATTGACTTCCTCCCTCACACAATCTGTCTGGCTTCAGTACGTACAGCACTAATTGCTGCCTAATGCTCGGGACCATCGGCAGAGGAGCTGGGAGCAGACAGGACCCTGCCATTCCCTGCTCCAAACTGGCCAAGTGTGGGGAAAACAAACCCAGGCTCCACATTAACCAAGTGGGAGCAGAAGGAGACACTTATTTCTGCAATTCAGCCAGGATGTCGGGAAGAACAGGGACGGTGACTAAGAAATCATGCATATTACAAGAGACAGAACGCAGTGTAGGGATGGGGAGAGCGCGCCGGTTCCAAGGGTCCTTGCTTCAGCTGCTTTCCCTGACCCCCTGCACCTCTGCCCTCCCCTGTTCCCCTCTCGTGACCTCTTTTCCCCCAGGTCCTTCCTTCCCCTCCATCCCTCATGTAAACATCAGCCGACGTGCTCCAGATTGCTGCCAATCTCAAAAAGCAGAGGAGGAAAATGCCATTTCAAACAGCAGCTATGGCAGGAGGAGGCCCGGTCCCATCCCCTCTGAGAGCTGGAGCCGCACTGTCCATCACAGCCTTCCCCCTTAAAATAACCATTAAAATATATTAATCTTCTCTGTTGCGGGCACCTGGCTTCCCTCAGAACAATAAAAAAACCAAAGGAGAACACAATAAAAAGCTGAAGGACCCTTTGGGCTCCCTCTCTGACCTCCCCAGCTCAGCGGTGAGGAAATAGATTGTCCTGGGCCTTTCATGTCCTCTCTCTGCATTTCTGAATCACAGCTGCCCACAGGATGCAAGCCCCTGCATTTACATTACAAAGTGCAGAGAGGCTCTTGCAGATGGGACAGCTCCTCTTTGTTGATCTGAACCATTAACTCCACACCAAGCACACGCCTGCTCCCAGTATTCGGGGTTCTTGGGCACAGAGGGGATCCCACTGAATGGGACCGGAGGAGGTCCCATCCCACACAGCAGAACAGAGCAGAGCTCACAGCTTCCTCCCTCCTGCGACGGGCATCTCTCATTTACAAACTGCATTTGCCCATTTCTCTATGTTCAGTAGGCAAAGAGAGCCCTGCAATGAGGTGTGTGGAAAACGCCTGTTTCAGTTTTCATTAGCTATTTGTATTTTCGCTTGTGTATTAAAAAGGGGGGCTGCTCTTTGCACACACAGGGATGTGCGCTGCAGCAGCCCCCAACAGACACACATGTGGCTCCCCACGGCCAGGAGAGACCTAGAACAACCCAATACCCCAACCCCAACCCTAACCCCAATCCCAATCCCAACTCAAACCCCAACCCCAATCCCAATCCCAACCCCAACTCTGACCCCAACCCCTACCCCTACCCCAGCAGCAGCGGGCTCTGAGGAGGCTGAAATGGGCATACACTGCATGGTGCTGCTGCTCCTTACAGGCTGTGGGAAAGGAGAATTTCCTGGGGACAAGGAGTTTTGTAGGGCAGAAATCGGGGGCTCTGCACGTTGTCTGCAGTTTGCTCCTGTGGTGCTAAATCTGGGCAAAAGCCCGAGTCGAGGCACTTCACCCTGCTAAGAGGGAGCTCGCTGTGGTTTCAGTCAAGCCGAATAGAAGTAGATTTTAAGACAAAAGCAGCCAGATAACCTCATGCAGTTACCAACAGGGCACATTAACAACAAACCAATGCAGGACACGGAGTTTACTGCCATGTTTTTCATACTGATCTTATAAACATCGCACGCTCCTGGCCAAGGGAGAGAAACACAAAGCACTGCAGAGCTGGAGAGGAGCTGAGCCAAGGCAAAGCCAGCACTGAGCACAGGAGAAACTTCAGGGTTTGTGGAGCTGGGGCCAAGGAAACCGATGAACAGAAGCAATAAAACCCTGGATAACTGGGCCACCGCACAGGAGCTCCTGCCCTGTGGGACATGAGCCCCTCGCTGTCTGTCACCACGGGGCAGCAACGCCCCTGTCCCTGCCCAGAGGTCACCATCACCCCAAAAGCATCTCCTGTCGCTGCTGCAGGGTTCCCCACAACATCTCCAAACTTCTGCTGCTCGCTGGGCCCGCTGAAGTCTCCCCATTGAAGGAGGAGCTCAGCAGAACAACAAATGGGGACCCGAAGCCCTCCAACAGGTTTGCTCCTGCTCTCAGACCCAGACAACCCCAGCACCACAGACCATCCTCCTGCTGTACCTATTCATCACTTCACTGTGCATGAAGATTTGGCCGTCTACATTTCAACTCTTTCTGTATTAAAGCATTTTTTGTTGTTCTGGTAAAAAAAAAAAAGAAAAAAATATAATAGCGGGCTTCAATCTTTAATGTTGGAGTTGGAGCGTTATTTTCCCCAGAATTGGGCGTGCTACGCATTCCTGAACTGTAGTTCACAGGAAAAGTAAACAGAGTTAGTAAATAGAGTTGTTTACTGTAAAATAAGAGGCGGAAAGGAGAAAGAAGAGGCACTTAATAGGTCCCTCTGTGGATTCTGCTGCTAAGGAGGAAACAACACTCCCTGTGGAGCTGCTGCATGTTTCATGCCCATTAATCTCCAGGAAAAAGGGAAGATCCGCAAAACCCGCTGAACTCTTCCCTTCCTCCCCCTTTAAAGGTTGTAGGGATGAGCTCAGCTCTGAGCCGTGATTCAAAGCTCCCAGTTTCGTTCCTAAGCTGCAGCGCTCAAATTGGAGATTTGCTTGTGCTGCCCGGCGCTCCCCGCTTCGCTTTCTACACCACAAAGGAACGGGGCGAGCTCCACGCATCGTTTGAAGACGCTTCACGGCTTTCCAGGCTCTCGTAGAGAAACACCAGCCCCAAACAGCAATCTGTGTCTGCTCGCATCGCCACCGGAGTCCTCAGCAAGGCAGAGGAAATAAGACAGGGACAACGACTGCAAGTTATCAGCTAAATTGATTCTTTTTAAACACCTAGAGGTAAAATAGAGCCCCATCAGAGGAGCACAGCAGGGCAGCGGTGAGCAGAGGGCACTTCTCTGTGGCCGTGTCCTCCAGCTCCTGTCTCCACCGTCCCACACCGCCCTTGTGCACAATGCAGAGGCAAACTCGCCTCCAGCTCTGGTTCTGCAGCCCTGTGCTGACTTACCAGCCTTGGGAAATGAACTGCATCAGCCAGAAAAATAGAATACAAACATCACGGCGATATCTGCATCAATACCAGCAAAGACAGAGACAGGGAACTGCATTCAACCTCAGTTTGTTACAGTGCAGCTCTCCTCGAAATCTTCAGCAAGCAGAAGAGAGCCATGCTCAGCAGGGCACCCGCAGCCACGCCGCTTCCAACGCCCATCAACCCCTCATGAAACGTCTTTTCTTGCCAAAAAGGCCGCTTTTCTTGCGCCTCCTCATAGGTGCCGCTTCCCATGTCTCCTTCCTCCTTGCTGGCTGCTAACTTCTGCTCCCAGGTCAAGGACTTTTTAAAGTTCAGATCCACCAAGTCGCTGTGGATGACGCTGACCCCAAAGTAGATCCTCTTGACGACTCTGAACGTCTTGGCCATCCGCACGTCGCACCTGTAAGTGCCCGCGTGGGACTCCTCGGTGGAGGAGAACCTGATGACCGAGCCGGGGTATCGCAAAGGCCTGAACAGGACGTCGTTGGTGGTGATGATGCCGTGGGCGTGCGTCCACGTGTAGCTGTAGGCTCGGTGACCGACGCCGGCCGCGTGCGAGATCCGGCAGCTGAAGCGGAAGGGCCTGCCCGCGGGGACGGTGAAGTGGAGCAGCCCGCAGTCCCAGCCCATCAGGCAGTCGGTCCTGCGCAGGGTGCAGTTCATCCTCTCCCCCGACGGCGTCACCACGCACATCTCCTCCACCTTGAAGCCCAGGCCACAGGTGACGCTGCAGGAGGTGGCGTTGACCGCCACTTTGCCCACGACCGACTTCAGCTCGGCTGGGATGGTGACATTTTGAACGGAAAACACCAGCGGCAGGTAGGACGCGCAAAGCAACGCCCCGAGGACGCGGCTTTTCCCCAGGGTGTCCATGTCGGGGTTATCCATCAGACGCGCTGCTTTCTAAAGCTGGGCAGATTCAGAGGTCACAAAGCACCGCAGCCACAAGTCGCTCTTTGCAAACCTTCAGACCAAGTGTTTCTGAACCCCCCCCCCAGCATCTTCAGACACAGCTCGTTAGGAAAAGTCCTTAAAAAGACCAGCTTGAAGTCCAGCGCTGCTGAAGAAGATGCAGCGTGTTACTGCGTTGGTCAGGGTGAATCACGAGTTGCAGCTCTTGTAACGGGGCAGCACAACGTTTTAATTCGCTGTATTCCAGCAATGCGGATCTATTTGACAATTCTAAAAAAGATGAAGTCCTCCCTTCTCTGTTAGATCTTACATACCATTTTAGATGAATTTCCACTGTAAAAAGGTACTGTTCCAGTTCAATTTCCCTACTAAACTTTTAAACAAGCAACCGCTACTGTTGAGCACAAGGAAATCCCAATTCCTTACGCAGCAGCAGCGCAGATCCACCTCATATGTACATACCCCAAAATCTGAAGTACTCCCCAGATTACCGAGATGATGAAAACACGGTTTCAGCCTCTGGGGTCTGGTGGCGCTGGCAGCCAGGGGAAGCCGAGCAGTGTTGGTGTTTGACTGTGGACGGATCCATCTCTGCGAGGGCTCAGGAGTCCCCAGGGTGATGTCACAGTCAGGTCAGAACACGGCCCCAGAGCTTGGAACTGGGGAACCCCCCCAGTCTGAGCCCAGGGATCCTCCGAGGTGAGGACCCGGCACTAAAGCATGGACTGGGCTCTGGGCAGCCGCTGCTCATCTCAGATTGGATTCAACAGCAAACCCGAGCCCTGTGCTCTGCGTCACAGCCACCGACTGCAAAAAGCCACCTTCAGTCGGTGCATCTGGAAAGCAGGAACCACTCCAACACCCAGCACAGCTCACTTAGTGCTCAAGTGGCCCGGAAGAACAACGCACTTTAAAAGTTCCTCATTAGAAAAACCACACAACCAAAAAAGTGACCTATTTTTGATTAATGAATATCCGTACTTCTCTTCCTAACAACTCTTAATGTATTAAAGTGAAGACTTCTGAAGATCTGGTGTATGTATTTTCCACATCCAGTTTCCCTGGTGCACCCAGCATGCTTCGTGTCCAGCTCCCCCTGTGCGCCTGTCTCGGTGTGCCCGGGCTTTTCTTGGGCTACAGATCTGCTCCTGTCTCTTGAAAATGAGATTATCAACCAAACACCACACTAAAAAACAACCAAGTAAACCCCACCAGCTGTGGGAAGGCTCAACACGTTGTGTTCGCAGCAGAGCTGTACTGCAGCTTTCCTAAACATCACCACAACAGAAAAGGGTGGAAAAGCCGAGACGGACCCATTGACTTTAGGAAATAAAACCAACCTCTTTATTTACAGACACAAAACTGACAGCACTGCTATACACTACCATCAAGCCAGTATCCGACAAATATGGTACAAAACTACAGATACCAAAAAAATCAGACAGAAATGGAAGACAACGAACCAAGGACATGTACACTGTACAGAGGGGTTTTAACAGACACAGAGGCTGGGGTCTGTGGCAAATCATAGGCTGTAAAATGATCAAGAACCTGTGCATCTTTTAGAGCTCGTGGGGTCGGCCGCGCCACACACGAGTGGAGTTAACAGCGCTCCAGGACAGACGTGAGTCACCCTGCGAGCAGGAGGAGCAGAGAAAACCAGTACTGCACACATGGGAATGAATTTCATTAAAGGAAGCACTGCGCCAGAGCCGGAAATGAAAAACTCTGATTTAAAACTTCTCCTCTCTTCGCATGTTCGTATCTCATGCAACTACTGCATCCTTCCGACCGCAAAGCAATAAGCCTCTTTATGACTCCTCTTCTTCGCTTCTGATGTCAGCAGGATCCTTTGACAATTCAAATACGTGGTGACAATCTCAGTCTGGGGAAAAACTGGAAGTAACTGCACAGGAACTATAAAAGTCTGTAAAAGGAGGGGCGTTAGGAATGGAAACTTCCTTTTACCAGGCGGTTGGTCCAGCACAGAGAATGCCAGGCTGGAGGTACCAGACAGAGAAGTGCCTCTTCCCATTCCCACAAGGAAAGCATCACAACCGTCTTTAAGGAATAAAAGGTTAAAGTATGGCTGGGAATAAGCTGTCAGCATTTGTTTTTCTACTCCTGATCCAGAAGCTGGGGGCAAAAACCTGAAAAACTGTTGTTTCAGTTCAGAGAAATACTGGTTCTGTTTTCTCTCTAATTGCCAGTGCCTACCAGCTAAGGAGGAAACCAATTGCTTCTGGTGCAGCACCTCACAGGAAAGAGACCAAATAAAGACACGTGCAAGGACAGAATCTGCCAACACAGGCTGGAAAAAAGCATATTAAATAAAGGATTTTATCTCGAGCTACTCTGATTTGTTCCTTTTCCCAGAAGCAGAGCCATCCTTCACACCTAAAATATTCACAATACGCAGGTTCACTCTTTGCAGGCCTCAGAGGGTGTCCTGATTCTTCACATCAGATCTCTGCCCACTGGAGATGAGCTCAAACCTGGCACACGAGCAGCAGCAGCAGCAGCGTTTCACCAAGCACGGCAGCGCAGGAGCCGCCACACGGAGCCAGCAGCAGAGCTGGGAGGTAACGCAGGGCACAGGAGGACTTACAGCTCACCACATGAAAACTTAACAGAAAGAAAGGGAGGTTTGCAGATACACAAACAGCATCGGGAATGGAAATACACACTTGGGGTATTCTGTGATCCAAGAACAAAAAAAATGTGTGAAAGCCAAGGGCTGATAAGCTCTGGAGTGGCAGTGCCGGGTACCAGCTCGCTTTACAGACACGTGTATTTGTCAACACAGAGGCAGTCCAGTCCAGTCTCTTTGCAAATCGCACGACCTGAGCGCCAGCATCTTCCACCGCCTGCTGAAGGAGCAACGAAGGCCACTTCCTCTTCCATGTTCATGCCTTACAAAAGTCACTCCCTGAATCCATGAACAAGTCTGCTGCATCCGTCAGTCCGCTCTGACTGAGCACTTCGTCTGTTTTCCACAACACGGAGCCAATATAGGAAAGAATACAGGAAGATAAAGAAGAACGTCTTCATAACAGTTCTGAGATTGCACCACCTGCTAAAGAGATCAGAGACAGGTGAAAAATGAGTAACCAGCCTGCAACGGATGTCACCAGCAACCAGAGACCACCAAGTACGGCAGCACTTCCAGAAAAAAACCAGAGGTTTTCTAGATAAAGCCACTCTTTACACAATGAGACACAACCACCAGGACACTGCCTGTGACAAATTAATCTCCAGTATTTCTGCAGTTGGGATCACAGGTACAGACACGGCAGCGATGGGACTCGGAGGTTTCACTCCACAAAGCCGCAAGCAAACTTACCTGGTGTAAAATCTTTTGATTCATCAATCCCAAAATCTCAGAGCAAAACCACAACTGCAAACAACAAATTCCACCTACGTTTGAGTTCAACCAGACTGCTGCAAGATTTTATTCTAAAGCTATAAAATGGATCCGGCTTCTCAGTTTGTTTGTGCTGAAACACTGAGATCCATGAGATCCTCTCAAGTCAAGAGCACTGCAGAAGGAAGCACAGCAACAGATCCCAACCAGAGACAGAGGCCCACCACAGCAATATTGATTATTTACCTATAGCTCAATCAGGCTAAAGAACACCAGCATGGAAAAACACATCAGAGTACTCAGAGGCAACAAAGACTGAACGCACATTTTAGAAAGCTCTACCACCTCCCATAGATGGGTAAAGCAAGTAGGGAACGTGGGGCTAAACCCATCTGTTAGTAAGAAAAGAGAATTTCCATTGTACAGTGTCCAAAAGCCAAAGCTAACTAAAAATTCCTCCCAAATACGGATTTCTAGACAGAAAGGATTCTGTCTAGAACACTGTTTCATTTGAAAAGTGTTAAAGGAGGAATTATTTTCCCAGCTCTCAGAACAGACCAATGCAACAGCGACCACAAGCTGCAAGATGACAGCACACAGAGATCTGTCTACACAGGTAGATTAGTAAAACAAGTTCATAACAAAGCTCCATAAACACCCCTTGACAAAGCTGAACAAAAACACTTGCTATTAAAACTACTCTGAAAACAGGCTGCTTACACAGCTGCTTAAACACGGAGAAGTCAAAATACCCAGCATTGGTTTTTTCAGCAAATGACTGAAGTTTGTTCTGGAAGTCACACTGTGAGGTGTCCAGTGCAGGATGCTTTCTCATTTCTATCTTTGACATGTGGTGATGTTAATTAGCAGTGTGTAAGAGAAAGCAACCAACAGGGCTGCTGGTGATACCAATGGTCACACTCATTTGGTCTTCGAACTGGCCTCATCCACCCAGCACGGCACGAGAGGGTCAGGATGTGAACAGATGCCAGCAAAGACACAACCCAGCTCATTCCTTACTGTGGTACTTTAAAACACCCTGGGTGCCCCCAATGAAGCGATAAGCCCAGAGAGAACCCCCTTCTCCTGTAAATCTGACACTGGAAACTACTCAGCACCTCCCAGAGTACAAACAAGTGCAGCTATTCCTGGCTGTCTGATTTCAGGGCTTTGCAAGGCACAGCATGGAAGGATTACATGGAAGCTCAGAAAGCATCTACCAGGTTTTTCCATGTACAGACTCAGTTTCCTTTACCCCACTCCCTTCTTTCCTGCAGACAGCAATTATCAGCACCCGCACAAGCAACACAACAGGAGCCGAGCAGGAAGGCCAAGGAGCAAGGTGGGCAGCACAGGAGCAGCAGCGAGGGAAGGAAGGGGCGGATGAAATCACTTCTGTACGGTCTAAAACCCACAGCAGCAGCTGCTGAGCTCAAGGAAATGCAGAATTTGATCCATCGATTACACCGTGACTTTGTTTATATATCAACCCTGAGTTCTTCAATACAATCTAAAATAAATAAATAAAGAATAGGAGTCCACACCGCTTAATCCAAGCACATGGTGTCTTCACTGCACTTGAAACTTCACTGCACTTAGTTTCTTTAGTGCACTTCTCCCAGATAAGAAGCTGAATTAGCAAATGAGACAGGAAACAGCCTGAGACCACGTCCGGGCCCCAGCAAGGTGACCACAGCAATCCTGGTTTAATACACAGCCAAAGTATGACCACAAAAACCCAAAAAAGTCCACCAAAACCTATCTGTATTTACAGCTTTCTGGAATTCAACTAAGGCTCCTGTACAGCTGGAAACAGAAAGCTGAGCTCCTGAATCTCTCTCAGGGTTCATTATCACACAGACCATTATCAACGCTCCATTTCCTAGTTCTGCTGATGGCATTCTCTGCTCTTCATCGCTCTGCCTAGTATTGATGGCACAAAAAGTCCATTTCTGCTCCGGAATCCTTCACTATTTACATTTTTCCCCCTCAAAAATCGACCCACCAAACCCAATTATGACTGTTTATGTAAGATCCGACGGAAGGTATCGAAAAGATTAAAGTTATCAAAAGAAATAGTGCTCAATGTCTACTAAAAACCCTCCAAGCTTTTTATATGCAGCAACACAGGCAGGGATATCGGTTTTATTACACATTTTGAAAGCACTTCCACTTAAAATAAATGTGAAATCTTGCCTATTCTTGACGGCAGCCAAACATTTAGTGAGCAAGTGCCACTGGGGGAGACAAAACGCTCTGCCTGTGTTAAGTCAGGGTCTGTACAAAGCAAGGCCACCAAGCAAGGCAACGCCGCTCACGCTGGGTTCCTTACCTGTCAAGGGCTGTCCCAGCTCCGCCTGCACTTTACCCTTCGCTGCTCCTTCCAGAGGTAAAGCACCTCTGTCCCCTTTGTAGAGTTTCGGTTTAAATGGAGAATCTTTGTCTTTACCTTTTGATCCTTTAGGCCTGCCTGCTTGCTTCTTCTTGGATTTACCATCTCCCTTCACACCCAGCAGCGGATGGACTTCTGTGGAGAGACAACGTGTCACCAAAGTGAGCTATCCCTTAAAATGCTTCTGCCAGCAAACACAGCCCTTGGTGTCAGCTACAAACAGCATTAAAATGGCAGTTTCAGGATGCCTTTACTCAATCCCAGCTTGCAAAATACCAGCAAATTTGCAGAGTTGGGGGCTAGTAATAACTGTTAGAAGTGACTTCAAAGGAAGGAGAAAATGAAGGAGTGAGCTTCTGAACTTCTGGTCTTCAGACAAAGCCAAGGCAAAGCTAAAAACCATCTCAGATGCAAAACAGGCACTAAAACAACGGCAGCTGCTACGCACCATCATTAGGTACTCCTTGTAGTTCAATGTTGGTGGTTTTGGGCTTCTTCTTTGGTGCCTGAGGTCCATCAGAGGACGACTGCCTCTTCTTCTCAGAGCCTAATCCCTCATCGGTCAAAGAGCTCTGAACCGCATCTGGTGGAGGTCCATAGGGGTTTTCTTCTGGATCTTCCACTTCTGGAGCAATGGGTAAGTACAGCAGAGCCTTGGAGTCCTCCAGTTCTTCATCGCTGTGAAGGAACAAAAATGGCTTTCATTTAAAACTAGGGGTTACTGTAACATACAGGGAACATTAGCACACATTCTGTATTGGTACTTTAAACAAAATATTCTTTCACCTGCTACAGAAGGCAGCAATGGGATCCACGCTAGTTACATCCACTTCTTCATCTTCTGCAGCATCAGCACCTGAGAACCAGGGAAGGAAGAATTAAAGACAGTAAGGATAAGAACAAATTACTTAGAAAGAATGGGACTGACTGTGCTTAAATGTCTGAGCATGCAGAAGTGAGAATTAAAGCAGAAAACAAACCTAAAGTGCTTCCTCTGAAATCCATCAGGTTTTTATTTTCCTTTTCTGTGTTCTAATACTCTATTGTTACAAAAGATGGTAATAAAGCCAGATAAAAGACTTTAAATCTTCTAAATGTTTGTTTTCACTAGACTAGTCCTAAACCTGATGAAGTTGACTTTAATGCTTAACTCTCACAAGCCAAAGTTACATCTGAATATTACAAGCTGCTAAACAACGATTAATCCAAACGTGGGAAGTGCTGCAAGGCCTGGCGATGAGCAGAGCTCTGTGGTGCGCTGGGCCCAGGCCCCAGCTCTTTCCCGTTTAACACCGGCCCGTCACAGCGCGCGATTTGCTGGCGCCACCAAGTGGCCACGTTGCGCTGCTACCGATTCGAATTGGGCACCGCTGCTGCCGAGAGCAAGCCCACACACACACACAGAGTCACAGAATGGCTCAGTTGGAAAAGCCCTCTGAGATCATCACGTCCAACCGCTCCTGTCTACCCCCTAAACCATATCCTTAAGTACCTCATCTACCCGCTCTTTAAACACATCCAGGGATGGTGACTCCACCACCTCCCTGGGCAGCCTGGTCCAGCTTCTGACGACCCTCTCAGGAAAGAACTTCCTCCTTATCTCTAACCTGAACCTCCCTTGGCACAGCTTGGGGCCGTTTCCCCTTGTTCTATCCCCCATCACCTGGGAGAAGAGACCAGCACGCACCTCTCTACAAGCTCCCTTGAGGCAGTTGGAGGTGGTGATGAGGTCTCCCCTCAGCCTTCTCTTCTCCAGGCTAAACAAGCCCAGTTCCCTCAGCCGCTCCTCATCAGGCTTGTTCTCCAGAGCCCTCCCCATCCTTGTGGCTCTTCTCTGAACACACTCCAGAATCTCAACATCCTTCTTACAGTGAGGGGCCCAGAACTGAACACAGCACTCGAGGTGCGGCCTCACCAGTGCCACACATACGGCTGTTTGCTGCTACTGCTTTCTGCTTGAACATGCACGGGAGAGGGGAGGCCTTTGTAACAAAACTTCATCTCAATTGACAGGAATCACACTGTGGTAGTTCCTACATCTTCATTCATCCACTCCTGTTTTGTAATTTAACACCTGTGACCACCAGTTTTAATTTTCACTATGCTCTGACTACAAACTATCTGCTAAGCAGAAACACAGTTTATGCAGTACCTGTCTGCTCTGGTTCACTCTTATCTTCATCTTCAATGTCAAACTCTGACTCTCTCTCTTCGTATTCCACATTCTCATCCAGCTCTTTGAAGTCAGGCGCAAAGGCACTCCAGTTTTCCTAAACACAAATGCAGAATTACTTTTACCTTATGCAAAGGAACAGCAGCCACAGTGAGGACTCACGTAATTACAAACTCATTCTGCATTAAAATCCCCAAGCCACATGCAGGATCACAAAAAAACTGAGCCTCATTTGGGTCCACAGTCATATGGTAAATTAGAAAGTGCACGAGTTAGTTGCTACTGAAAAATTTATTCCTTAAATATCGCAGTTTACATCATACAACAAAGCTGTGTTCACATTTAGCCACCTCAGCTTTGGTTCCCTCAGATTTCCTGCACTCATAAGACATATTCAGGACACCATTCCAGCATAAAGTGTCCATGTGATGACATTTAAGACTTTAGTGCAAAGCTTAACTAATTCAACAACCGAGCAAGGAGAACCCTCCCCACATTCAACACGGTGGCAAACGTGTCGAGGTAGGCAGGTGAACCTACGTTTGTTGAATGATTTCATAAGGGATTTCAGTGTGCAATCATTCAGCCGACCAGGATGGAGACCACTGGGGAATCCTCCTAAGAACATGATGTAAAATGCTTACCACTTGATTCTGAGCCCATATTGACACAACACCACTGGAAATAGATGCTATGATCGGTCGGACAGGATGCCACTGGATTTATTAAAAGAGAGAAGAGGAGCTTCATTGGTAAATGGAATCAAGCAAGCTTAGTTTTCAAAACAGCAAGAAACGCAGCAACAGCAGGCAGTTTTCTTACTGCTACATCCAAGAGCAGCTCTCCCCTGGTCCCGTGCAGGATTTTCACCAGGTTTCCAATGCTCTTCTCCCAGATGTACAGGGCGTGCTGCCGCGCTGACCCTGCCACGATGTATTCGCCGTCACCCGAGAAGCAGCACTTCTTCCACGGCGTCCTGCGTGCAGAGACAGCGCCCCAGGTTAACCAGCTCAACAGCACAGCATGCAGGAGGGAGGGCTTTGTCCTCAAACTGACACCTTACGAACTCCCATCCACGGATAATATTTAAACTTCAAGTCGAAGTGCGACAGACGGGTTTCAAATGAAAGCATCTGTGCTTTACACTGAGTAAGATACTGAGCTACCCATTAGTGAGGCACACAGACCTCCCCTTTTCAAGCCAGGCTGACCATTCTGCTGCCTCTTACCTGTTCACTAAATCCTGCAGCTTCTGCATCGGCTCTGGCTCCCCGTCTCGCCCACAGGTGAGAATTTCACGGCCATCGTACACCCTGATTATCCGGTCAGCTGTGTTTATTAAAAAGCAGCTGCAGGAAGGAGGGCACAGAACACGCATTGCGTTAAAAGACTAAGAAAATAAAAATAATCAGAGTAAGTTCCATGAGAGTTGTGAGGGTTTTAAGGCCTTGTGTGCTCTGTCGATCTACCCCATCGTTTTCAATTCATCTTTAAAGACACCACTTGGTAAATGAAGTGACTGACCTTCCTTTCCGAGCAAATTCAATGGATTTAATAGCTGTGGTGTTGCTGGTTCCAGTTGTCACTCTGAAGGAAGCCACAAGATCCTGAGTGTCTGTTTTTAAGACCAGGATCTGAAGATCAAGGAGACGGAAGCCAATCAGTGTCTTTGTTATAACTCACTCCCCTTTCGGTGCCTTTCACATCAGCTACAACCCTGACAACAGAAGCCTCAGCAATTTACACACGGGTAGTTGGGATTCTGCAGCCATCGTTTCTACGACAGTTTCTGCAGCAGTTCTGTGACATAAACATGGGTTTATTTATGCTGGAAAAGGATCCAACAAACACAAAGACAACAGCACCACCAAGACCCAACTCAGACAAAGCACTCCAGTTAGAGATCTTCAGAGAGGAAGCGTGATGCTTTACTCAAAAGATCATATCAGCGCAGTATCAATTATTCAGGAGACACTCAAGAGGCCTTATTTGTGTATTAAAACAAAGAACACAACCCAGAAACGTTAAGCATCTTGATAAAGACAGGCAGTAATTAAAGCTATGGCATCCAGTGCCGCTTGCTGACGTCTCACCTTCCCCTTGGCGTTGCCTGTGTAAATGTACTCCCCTCGCCTGTCAAAGGAGGCCACAACGTTGAGATCCGAATCATCATCCACGGGCAGGACAACGTGTTTGGAGTCCGACAGCGTCAGCATCACCGGCGCCGACTTCATGGGACAAACCAGAACTCTGTTTCTGCAAAGCGCAAAAGAACAGTCAGCAGGTTCCCCTCTGGGAAAAGCTCCCACGTTTAGAAGTGAGAAAAAAATCTCAGCCTGTATCAAGAAATGCAGAATGCCTCTGGATTTTTATTATTTGATTTCATCTCTGTTACTTTAATTGCAGCACAACGTTACGATGGTTTTGCTTTCATTTCCTTTCTTTCCTTCCCCAAGTTCCTGCAGTGATTTGGGAACTCAACACAACGTTCTCATAAACATTGCTATATACACAGAACTATTCTCCTGTTTACTCTCCTCCCTTCCTGATATTTTCATAATAAAAAAAGCCACAGCAAATCCAGTGAGGGCTCCAATCGCAAAAAGAAGATGCGCCAATGGCACTTACTGGGTTAGAAACACTTTGCAAACTACAACAAAAACATTTTTATAATCATTAGTTACGTCAAAATAAGAACAGTTCTACCAAAACGAGAGCAGTTGTACCAAAACAAGAGCGTTCAGCGGTGTTTTACAGGACTTACTGGTCTCGAGGGTGGTACTGAACTTTCAAGATAGGCGAAGGAAACCGAAATCTCTGGTCGCAGTCTCCAGAGAGCACGTCCCACTGCGACACGATGTTATCGGTGGAAGCACTCACCAGTTTGTGACCATCTCGACTCCAGCTGCAGTAACGACAGATCACCCAAGCACAAGTTACTCCTCACACATGTGAAACACACACCTGCCACCAGTTTAAAATTACCAGACCGAAGTTTAAACATAAATCCATTAGCCTGAAAAACAACCTTTGAGCACAAGCATCCACAAACTTAACAGGCAGAACACATTTTCAAACTCTCTCAAAGGAAACTACCCTCAAATGCAGCTGAACATCCTGCAACGGGCTGGCGTTTCAGCAATCAACACACCCAGGTGCTAAGAGCTGGCAGGACATCAGCGCACCTGATGCTCACACACCCCTGGATAAACTCTAACACAAATGGGAACAACCTTTCACACCCGGTGCACAGGACACGAGCTCAATGATAACTGAACACTGCAGTCAGCCCTTCTGAGCAAAACCGAGCCCGTCCTCACCACAGCGAGCAGACGGGGTGAATGTGGGCGCTGATGATTTTGGCGATGCCCCTGGTGAGGAAGTCCCAGATGACGATGCGCCCGTCGTTGCAGCCCACGGCGAGCAGCGTGCCCCAGCGATTGAAGGTGCAGGTCAGGGCCATGCTGATGCAGTCCAGGGTGCCATCGGCCTCCTG